CCATTAAATCTAAGAGAGCAGTATACAATGCTACAGTGACATGACTATAACTGGATCCCTATTTTTACTTTCACACTTTTACTTTTAGCTTATTTAATAGAAATTTTGCTGTTGACTCTAAATATGTAACATATCAATCAAGCTGGCTTCACTACTCAAAAGCATATTCTGCTTTATTCAGTGACTACTGAAATAAACCACATAATTCTAAATGGCATCCAAAATTGTTGTAAGTGAGCCAATTCAGATTTTGAATTTCAGAGCTGGTGGATTTTTCTGACAGCTTTTATATGCTATATTTTACAGTTAGTAGTTTTAGCTAAAATTTACAGTTAGGAAATTTGCAAAAGATGTAGTTTGAGAATAACACTAAGGATTATGGAAGGGAAGTTAAAAGAGATTTGTTTTGGATATATCAGGTGGTAGCTTATGTCCCTTTAGAGACATATCTTGAGACAAACCTCTTTTACCCAAATATAATCATTTGGCAGGACTGGATTACCTGAAGCAGGACCCAAATTTAACTATGGAAGGGTCGCTTTCTTGCTCAAGTTCACTGAAAACATTGGGAAAACTATGCTTTCTTGTGTTCAGTGATCTAACTTTCCCCAACTGCAAGCACAAGTTAAAGGGATTAACAATATCAAAAAGAAGGGAAGAAGGAAGGAAGGAAGGAAAGAAGGAAGGAAGGAAGGAAGGAAGGAAGGAAGGAAGGGAGGGAGGGAGGGAGGGAGGGAGGGAGGGAGGGAGGAAAATTAGTTCTTGACAAGGGAGCTAAGCAGAGCTAAGGACAGCACAGCATGTAACAGTAAAAATAACAATTTTACAGCTTTCTGCTGGGAGGTAGTGCATGGCCAGCTGGTTGCTTTCCCCTCCTGCAGTAACCTTCACTCACAGTTCAGGATTACTTGCATCTTATTGGACAGCAGGGCCTGGACAGATTCTGCTTTCCCACACACCAAAGACCAAACTCTAACGCAAAGACTTCTGCCTTCCTTTTACACTTTCTAGTGTTTGCACCCTGTGGGGCACACTATGGGAAGGCACTCTATGCCTTCAGCATAAATGAAACTTATGCTACCCTATTGTCCTATATGAGTAACTCTCCTCAGGCAAAGTTATGCAGTCTTAGCTGACTTTTCTACAGTCTTGCACGTATGATTATTCTCTCCTTTATGCTAAAGTTCCTTCTTAAACAGAAATGCTTCTGAAATATAATGAATCAACATGTGCAAAACAAGTATGTATTAGACCTGGCTCACAGTCCTTTCTACTTACTGCTTTTATGCTCTGCCACTTCTCAACGAAACCCCATTTTTAGTTTGGCCCTCTTTCCCCTGAGGAATTCTTGTGATGGGAAACAGTGTCAGAACTTTGCTTTCCCTTTAGGCCTCAGTCACCAGGATAGCCCAAAGTTAATGTATGTTTAATATCATACAGATATTATGCCTTTTCCACTAAGCTCTGGTCAAGCGTCAGCTTATTATCTGTTCTTTCTTGAAGGTGGAATTTCTCTGTGCTAAATGATATCTCCAGAAGCAAAGTAATACTTTGGTATGTGATTGACTGATTGTCATGATTACTGAGTAACTTGTGGCATTTCAATGATAGATGTTACATGATCTTCAGGTGTACATTTCTATACTAAATGATTCCATATTTTAAGATTCTTAAAAAAAAAAAAAGATTTCATGAAAGTTTGAAATTGCCTTCTTTCATCAGGGTTAAGGAAGGCTGAAGAAATTTTACTTCYCTATCTTAGCAGATCCTTTTTTCTTTTTCTTCTGGATTTCTTTAATGGGTTAAGTTAGGTTGTATGTTCAGCTTCAGCAGATAGCATAAGGCTTGAAGCCTTAAAGGAACCAAAAGGAAATGACTGAGAAGGTCTTTCTGAGGATGATAGCTCTGCCTTGTAATATAATACTGCTTCTCATGGGAGTGAGTGGGAGGCCTGCCTAAATTTCCTTTTCCTGTCCTGCCAAATTCCCCAAATTGCATAACTCTGTATTCTCCTTACACAGTGGTACCCTTGGCATCCCTATTAAATCTGCAGGGAAGCAGTGAAGTAGCTGGAGGCTTGAGGGTGGACCAAAATTGGTAGAGGGCAGACTTGGTTAGCCAAAAAACAAAACAAACCCAGACCTATGAACTAAGTTTACTAATTCTCTCATGTATAACAGAACAGCACAATACAGATTTAATAACATACACTATTTTGTTCTAAAAGCACTCCATCTAGGAAAAATAAGCTTATCAGGATAAGCAAGGGACCCATGGGGAGTTCATCAGTTCAGTTTCAAGTCACAAGATGTGTTTTACTTGGCCTTGGAGCCTTCTTGTGCAAGATTAATGTGAAACTTCTGAAATGCAAACTGAACAAAAAAGCATATTTTTACTGGTTGGTGTTTTTCTCCCCATGCCATTATTTTCATTGTAAGGCCCCATCACTGCCTTCCCCATCATCCTTGCCTTAGCCTAGTAAGAGTATCAGATAGCATATTCCTCACTTTTGTGTTGGAATGAAAGAAGAGCTACTGGACAAACAGCATGACCAGTACACCTCATAGGGATGTAGTGCTGAAGGGTTTTGCTTTGTCGTTCCATTGAATAAGAAGTGAATAATTTGGACCTCATTAAAGGAGAGTGTGGAATATGGCAATCTTGGGGTAAGTTCTGCCTGTGTACAGAGGGAAAAGTTTGCCTCCTTTGGAAAAATATTTCTGTTTCTTGAAAGTTACAACAGACAAACTCATTACTGGTGAAACTTTATTAAGCTTTATTGGAGCCTATTCTGACTGTGTTTTTAGGCCAACTATCATTAAGAGGACTTCTCTAAAATGAAGTAAACCCACAAAGCTTTTGATAATTCTGCTCTTACATTGTGCATACAGCACCTTGAATAGGCTCTGTACTGTTATTCAGACTATTTGAGAGGTCAGGTACTACTCAGCATGTGTAAGGGTGGGAGAATTTGGCTCCAAATAATTTCTTTTTCTCTTATTGCTACAGGAACTGGAAAAGACAAGGGTGTGTGGGCGGGCCTGGAGTCCCTCCAAGGAAAGTGTGAGGCCTTGGGCAAAACAAATCCATCAGGTCTCTCATTTCTTCCAAGTATAGGTCTATTTTGAGCAGTAGCCAAACTTAAGTCTAAAATCCACATTCAGCCTTTTCAGAGGGAGTACATGAAAAAGACCCTATGGCCTACAGAGTCCATCTATAGAAAATATTTTGATAGCTCTTCCGCTCCGGCATTATTTTCCAGTTTAAAAGAAAGAAAAAGAAAACACACAGAACTAGAGCGCATGATTCAATTTTACAGTGTAAAATATCTGGTTGATGAAAATAATATTTCTGAAAACAAATCTGTTGTGAGCTATCAAGCATTTTTGCCTATGTACCAATTGGCAGGAAGTAGACAGATAAATTATTACAATATGTAACAAAACAAATTGGTCTAAAGAGAAATGGTATTTGTGAGTGTATGAGCAGGATAAGGAGAATTAATTCCATAAACTTATGCTGAGAAATCATCATCACAACATAAATATACTGGAAGTGAAGGCACTTACTTCAACTCTGCCTCTGTCTGAACCTTGAACAGGACAGATTTTATGACACGTGAATGTTTTCCTCGAGTAGAATATAAAAATTCTGGACTAAAATGAAAAAGAATGAACTTGGGAAGTTCTTGCTGTTGAGAGGAAGGGATCTCATAGTCACTTTGCCAAGATGCTTCCAAATTTGTCAAAAATCACCACATTTTAATAAAATGAAACCAATGCACCAGCTCCCCAGATCTTTAATACCCTATTACTGCCCATTGGAAAATTTCATGAAGTGCTTATGGAGATAAAGATTTAGGAGACAATATCCCATTAGCTTTCAATAAGGCAGTTTCTTTAGAGCCTGGCTTGTGGACAAATTAAACCAAGACAAGCTCTATATGAAATAACAGCATGTCCATTGGTCTGTTGTGAATTTCTGTGTACATGCTCTTATCCCACAATGACTAGTCAGTGCACAGCTGATGACTCCTTTTCCATCCAGAGCCAAACCACCTCAGGTTTGCCTCAGAGTTCAGGCCATGCACAGTGGCAGATAGTGAATAGCGGCAGACGAGCTGCATGCTTGCTGCTCTGCCATATCCTAAATATACTTTTAAAAATAAAAGTGAGGGTTCTAAAAGGTGTATATGAGTATACAAATATGGAAAATCAAGAGTCTTGCTCCTTGATTTCCTCTTTGAAAATCCTTCCCTATATCCAATTTATTTTCCAGCATCCAATTTTTCTTTCAATCCAAGCACACTTGTATGTGACAGAATCAGAGTTCCCAAATTAAAGGTAGTTATGGGCCTCAGGTTTTCAGGTTTTCACATGGACGCATGTTCAAATATGACAGGAAATTATTTAGCCACGATTGAAGGTTATTGAAAGACATAACTGCCTGCAACAAATATAGAGTCAAAGTAAAGGGTTCCCTCTACAGATTTTTGCAGTTGTTCATTGTGAGGGAACCATTCATAATTTGTCAACACAATAGCTGGTAGTAATTGCTAGCAGAAATGAGCTAGCTGTACAAACTGCTAACTTCAGGCAGTCTGTGAATATGTCATTTAAACAATAAAATAAAAGCAATAAAGTAAAAGATTGTGTGGCTGAAGAATTACCATGCTGGTTTCTGACAGATAACTTGAAAAGGTAGACTGTGAATAAAACCCCTGTAAGGGGGCCAACAATAATAGGTAAGTGTATTCCAAACAGCTCTAGCTCATATCACCTACCAAAAAAATGAAGAAATTTGGTCTTGTTTGTCACTGAACATCCTGTAGAAACTCATTAACATGGCTAAGTCAGAAGCCTGAATTGCTGTGAAAAGATTAACTTTACGGAGTTGTTTGTGGGTTAAAGACTTTTGCATGCAGCTACAACTTCATCACTAAATCATCAAGTGCTGGAACTATCTACTTATGTTTCGGTGCCAGATGTACTGCTGTGGTTTTAAGAGAGATTTTCAAGGGCCAAGGAGATGGTTTTCAGTTCCTCTTTCATTTGACTGGGTGTTTGCTCCACTTTCTGAGGTGTGTTCAGAATTTCTGTGCTGCTGGTGAACGGGTCGTAGTGCAGAGAGAAAGGCTTCTTGATCTTCATTCCATAGTTTCTGCAGGGAGAAGGTGACAGATTGCTAGTTTAGAAGCCATTCCCCTAAATGCAAAACCTTTGGGACTCTTCTTTCCCAGCATGAGGCACAGGTTTCGCTAGGGGAGCAGTGGCAGCTGCAACACCCTCCTTGCTGCCCCTCACTAGTGCTGTCTGCTCTGTCATTCTCTCCACACTGCTGAAGTACTCGCAGCCTGAAAGATCCAATGTGCCTCTTCTCCGCAGGGCTGGTTCAGTCTCTGTCTGTGCTCTTTCAGCTCTACGTTAACACAGCTCAGAGCTATTACAGCCGCAAGCTAGAGGAATGCAGGAACGCAGCACGTCTGACTTCACTTCCAAGAAATAACCTGAAGTAGCTCTTACTGCATAAAATTGTAAAAGAGCCATCGACATTAGGCATCCTAGGCTATTTTGCCTTCTCCACTGATGAAATAACATGGTTGCTTGCCATTTCTGACAATATTTCCATTAAGTACATGCTGGTAGGAACCCCCTGTACTGATGTTGCCTAATCTTTTCCGTTCTGACAGATTCTTGTGCCTTCAGTTATTATGAGCAATTTTGGCTCAGCAACTGTCTTGAAAACAAGTATGAAAAAGCTTCAGATCAGAGAATGGTGTATTCCTTGTCCTTTCATATTGTTCTCAGGTTTGACCGAGTCAAATGCTTTTGAAAAATCTTTCTTCTTCTGTGCAGTGAGTTCTTACCTGTACTTCTTCATAGAGGATAATACCTAAAGGTGAACCTGGGTTTTAAAGATGAGAGGTCTAATTTGCTATTGCTATAACTCCAGCAGACTGTTCCTCTGAGAAGGAAGGAGAAGAAAAAGAGAAGTTGTGCCTTTCCCTAAAAAAAAAATCCTTCATTTCAGCTTTTTCATGTTCCCTACTGGCTTTACTATCAGCCTCCTGCTTCCAAGCAGAAATGGGTCTGTTGTTCAGATTACTGGAGATGAAGACCCAAAACTTAAACCATTCTTGCTAGAAAAGAAAATCGTTTTTATGATAAATTACACAGCCAAACAAATACTGCTAAAACAATGTTATTTAGGTTGTAGCAAGCTACTTTTTAGGAACTGGATTGTCTCTTGTTGCTGATTTTGCTTTCTTGTGCAGGTGTAAGGAAAGGGGAAAAATAATCTCTTGCTTTTAAGCCCCTGCTGATCTGTGTTAATTCCTGAGTCTGCAGTAAAATTTGCCTGTGACCTCAGCTAAATCACTTTATTTCTTTATGTCATCCTATTTGTATGGAGTAGCTGGAGTAGCACACAGATGACTGAACTGGTGAATTGCACTCTACTCTCCAACACGGTGCCCAGGTTCAGAATTTACCTCTAGTATCAGAGTAAAGAGAAGATATTGCTAAGATAGAGCACAGAAAAGGACATCGCAATATGGAGCTATGCTTTTCTTTGAAGTTTTTCTTAGACAAACAACATTGTGTTTAATTTAATTCTAAAAAAGTCACTGTGAAGATAAAGTGTGCAGTGAGATAGGCTAGCATGGTTAAAACAGTAGTGGTGGATGCACTTGAGATTGGGACTCAAGCTGCTGTGTCCCCTGCAATGAAAAAAATAGCCATGACTACTTTACTGACCAGAGCTTAGTCTTGGCATCTTCAAAATTTTCTGCTACAAAATAGATAGGCTGGAAGGCTTGGTCCTAATAGGGATGAACTGCAATGATTTCTGGATCAAAAGGCTTGTACTCTGGCTTGTTTGATAGTTCGTACTTTGCACCAGAAATGACAAATGTTAAATGTGACTTAAAATAGTGCCTATACAGTTACGAAATATTCTTTATAAAATAAAGGCAAGATCTATTTCTACTCCTTCAGAGCTGAAAGCTGGCTTTCCAAGCTACTAGTTATTAAAATTAAACAAAACAAAACAAAACAAAACAAAACAAAA